CGAGTCCGCCAGAATGCGCGCATGACAACCCTCAGAGACCCAAGGGGAATCCAGTCTTCAGCCGGGCGTGTCCCCCTACATGGGGATTTTCGACGCAAAATAAAAAATAACAAAATAGTCCAACATGGTCAAAATAATCAAAAAATAGTCCCCAGACTATTTTTTGATTATTTTTGAATATTCCTCCTGTAGAGGGACAGGCCCAACATAAAATCCAGCCCCCAGGAGGCCTCGAGAGCTCCCGAGAAGCCTCCGAGAGGATCCCCAGAAGCCGCCTCAAAGGTTGCCCGCCTGTTCGACGACCGAGGCCCGCTGGCGGGATTGGCCAGAGTCCTCCTCCTCCTCCTCTTCCTCCTCCGCCTCCTCCTCCTCCTCCGCCTCCTCCTCCTCCTCCTCTCCTCCTCCTCCTCCTCCTCCTCCCCCTCCTCCTCCTCGCCCCCTTCCCCCCCCCCTCCCTCTTCTCGCTCGACCACGGTATCTTCGGGAGGGCTGTCCGAGGGCCTCAGGACGAACGAAAAGAGCCCGAAGGAGCCCTGGAGAGCCTGCGGCCAAACCGAGCGAACGGGGCCACCATCAGGAAGCTCCGCTGCGAGCATTATCGGGATCCGTCGCATCTCTCTGAAAGGGGCCCAGGGAAACACAGATAAAGATACACACAGATAATTAAAAACATTCCCCATCTTTGCCCATATGTTCTGAGTTGTTTTGCCTTCCCCACCACTATTTCCATACTTTCCAATATTTGTTCTGGGGAGTCGACGCTTCATTGTGCCTGTGTTTTTGGTTCCCTCCTGACTCCCTCGTCCTCCTCCTCCTCCCCTCCTCCTCCTCCTCTCCTCCTCCTCCTCCTCCTCCTCCTCCTCCTCCCCCTCCTCCTCCTCCTCCTCCTCCTCCTCCTCCTCCCCCTCCTCCTCCTCCTCCTCCTCCTCCTCGCATCCGTCGCATCTCTCGTCCCTCGGTGAGGGCGCTGTCAAACCTCATCCCCGGGGCATCTCCAGCCCTGTTCGAGCACTCCGGCCAGAAAAACTCGTCCCGGCCGCGGCCGCGCTGCCGGTGCGGCGGGCGCTTGCCAGGCCACGACGCGGTGCAGACAGGAGAAGGAGGAGGAGGAGGAGGAGGAGGAGGAGGAGGAGGAGGAGGGGGAGGGGGAGGGGGAGGAGGAGGAGGAGGAGCAGGAGGAGGAGGAGGAGGAGGAGGAGGAGGAGCAGGAGGAGGAGGAGGAGGAGCAGCAGGAGGAGGAGGAGGAGGGGGAGGAGGAGGAGGAGTGGGAGGAGGAGGAGGAGGAGAAGGGACGAGGAGAGGACGAAGGGCCATTATTATACTCCACTCACTGCGGCCACCTTGCTCCCCTTCCTCCGCCCTTGCTCTTGAGCCCCCTTTTGTCGGCACTTTGCAATATTGCTGCGCCAAAGCTCCACGCATCCTTGCAACTTCTCCTGTCGCCCTTTCTCCCACGGCGTGGACCCTGTTCGCCGAATCCTGGCTCGCCGGGACCCTGTTCGCTGGGACCTGGTTCGCCGGGACCCTGCTCGCCGGGACCCATATATTCGCCGTGGACCCTGCTCGCCAGGATCCTCGTCGCCCGGACCCTGTTCGCCGAGACACTGTTCGCCGGGGCCCTCTTCGATGGCCGCGCCCGCCGTCGCCGTCTCTGTCGCCGTCGCCGTCGCCGTCTCCGCCGCCAGGATGAGAGGAGCGAGGACAAACTGAGCGAAAGGAGCGAGGTCGGACCCTGACGGGTGGGTCGGGCCGGGCGGTGGGTCGGGCCGGGCGGGCGGGACATGAAAGCGTGGGGCGAACACGAGCGAGCGCGCGAGCCCCAATGGGCGGGTCAGGTCGGGCGGGCGGACCCTACTGGGCGGGTCGGCGGGTCGGGTTGGGCGGGCGGGGCGGACCCTAACGGGCGGGTCGGGTCGGGCAGGTGGGACAAAAGTAAAGCGTGGGACATACACGAGCGAACACGCAAGAACGCTAACGGGCGGGTCGGGTCAGGAGGGCGGACCCTAGCGGGCGGTTCGGGTCGGGCGGGCAGGACATTCAAACGTGCGGCATACACGAGCATGCACGCGTGAACCCCCACGGGCGGGTCGGGTCGAGCGGGCGGGACGACGACGAAGACGGCGACGACGACGGCACGAGGAGACGGAGGCAGCAACGGCGACGACGACGAGAGCGAGGACGACGACGGCGGCGAACAGGGAGGCGGCGAACAGGATCTCTCGGGGGCGTCCAAGAGGGGGGCGTCCAAGAGACGGGGGCGCAAATCATGGCCGGCGGCACGTGCGCGGCCCAAGGGGGGGGCCGGGGACGTAATGAAACGAGAAGAGGCGCCATGACATCTGGGAAGAAATCATGGCCCCAACCATGAAACTCACCTCCCCTTAATCATCACCCCACTCCTGGCCGCTCCCAAGCCTCGGGCGAAGATGGCGGCGACGATTCCGAAGGGCCGGGTCCTTCGGTCTCCCTGGCGCTCTCGGGCGAGGCCAGGGACCCCCTTTGCAAGTCTGCAGAAAGCCCACCCTCATGATAATCACCCCGACACGCGAAGTCGCTCAGCAAACGCACCCACAGGAAAGAATCGAACAGGGCAGGGCTGCGTAATAGACGCCCAAGGCCGTTTGGTAGACGCCAGTTGTCGGGTCCGGGTGGTTTTTCCACCCTTGACTATGCCCCCCACCCCGCAGAATCTGCTCATCCGCACTACCCTCGGGGGCTCCTAGCATTCACGGCATGGCCCCCTGCGAGTACATGCCACATGCGATGAATCCTGACTTCCAGGGCAAAAAGCCCACATAGCAATTATTCGGGGTACAACGGGGCAACATAGCTGCTCGAGCTTGTTGTTGCTGGTGCCGCTGCTTGCTGCTGTTGCAGCTGTTTGTTTTCCTTTTCGGAAAAATGTTGCTGCGTGCAGCTGCTTAGGAGAGAAAGCGCATCCCTGAATGTCTCTGAACGTCTGAATTTTTGTGACCCAATGCTAGGTGAGCCTCTTGTTGACGTTCGGGTAACTTCAGCCAAATGGGCTTGGCAGGGACAAGGAGATGAGGACAGGAACTGTAACGGCCACGCAACCCGACTCAGGAGGGGAATGTGGAGCAGAACTAGAAAAAAGCAGGTGAGAAGGGATGAGAAGCGGGAGCAAGAGGAAAAGCAGAAGCATCATGAGGAAAGAGATGCTGGAGAGGGAAGAGCGCTGCACGGACAAACCTTGACAAGAAATCCATCACCTTGACCATCTCGGGATCCATGCCCTGGACGTCGACCTCCGTCATGGCATGGACCAGCGATGCCAACTCTAGCCCCGATCCCCTCCGTCCACACTCCTCCCCTCATCACTCCCCTCCTTCATATACCCCCCCTAAACGTTCCTTGTGTAAGTTGGCAGCCCCGACCTTTTTTGAGTTTTCCAGATCCAAGCTGCAAGCGATACTGTCTCGAATGGCCAGGACCCTGTAGCACGCAGATCTTCGATGCGGCCGAGGTGGGGGCCGCATGTGGGAGCCCCCGAGACCTTCGGCAAAAGTGCGCTTTCCCCTCGGCGGCGCAGCTCGATAGCCAGGCGCACGCGCAGCGACAGCTCGACACCCCACTGTGGGATGCGCCCATCGGTGGCATCGCGCAGAAGTTGCTTGCCCCTGCTGCGTCGGGTCGCACTCCTTCAGTAGGGGGCCCGACCAGAAGAAACCTTCCGCAAGAAACCCAACCCGGAGACCCCAGGACGTCCATCGATTTTTGGCGTGGGAGCGTCACGCTTTCCACAGCAAAACCATCGAAACCCCAAACAACTCAATGTACCCTGAGGCAAACAAGGTGTTTCTTGGCATGGGTCTCCACTGTTTGCTCGGCACAGACGGGCGGACACTTCCCATCTCGCCATCTTGCTGTACTGTAGAGACTGTCGGACAAGTCAGGCCAGATATGCCTTGGCACCAGACGGTGCGTGAGGAGGGACGCTCTCCGCGGCTCCGCGGGTCGCACGAAGGTGACCAAGAGGGGGGGCGAGTAGGCGGGAGGAGGCGGTCTGAGGCTGAAAACCATCGCGCACAATGCCTTCAGCATCAGGGCCAACCCTTGACGGCCTGCCTGCTCCCACCTGCGAGATGCACGACCTTCTGGACGGCAGTGGTCAGCAGGTCGCTCGAGCGAGCTGGGAGGCTCTTGAATAATTGTCCCGAACCAGATCCGCTCACGCCTGTCGCGATGTGTCTCGCTTTCCTGGGCCCGCGGAAGCTGGCCGCTGCCGCAGCCGCCGCAGCCGACGACGACGACGACGGAAAAGACGACGACGACGACGACGGATGACGACGACGACGACGACGACGAACCACCCCACTTCCACAGAGGGAGGGTGGGGTTTGCACCAGCACCCCCCACCGTGCCACGCCCATAAGGGGGAAACGATCCCATCCGCGAGGCCTTCGCGAGGCTCGCGAGCGAGATGTTTCCATCCAGCAGGGGAGGGGGTGAGGGGGGCTCGATCCCATATGCGTTCGGGGGGGAGGGGGGGCAACCCTGGACCAGATATCTCCATCTACCTACATGTGTGTACATATATATATATATAAATGAATCAGATATCTATGGACAGATATCCATGTGAAAATCCATGTCTATATATATAGTACGTATACCAATGGGTATTCGCCAACTCTTTGAATTCATCGGCGTGTCAGCCACTTCCCCCCCTGCCCAGACCCATCCCCCGAACGCCTGGTCCAGTCGATTTGGAGGGGGGGGGTCTCCCGGGGCCCAGTCGAACGCATCATGGGGGGACAGAAAACTCCAACAACTCCAGAGGGCCCCAAGAGGCCCACCGGACGGTCCAACGGGGCCACGAATCGCCGAAAGATGTATCCGAAACGCACATGCTGGCCTCCAGACCATCTCGCCCTCGAACGTTCTGCGCCGGTCCCCCCTGTGGCCCTCGGAAGGGGGGCTTCGCGCAGCGCCAATTCGGAGGACGCAGCATGGGCGCATCCTGCGCCCCTCCACCAGCGCGTGTCTCGGGGTCGTCGTCGAAGCCGCAGCAGCGGATGAGTTGGGGGCCATCAGTCACGATGGCGCGCAACATCTCGCTGCGACCCCGCGCTTCGACCGCGCAAGTGCGCATTCCCTCGAAGACTGCGTCGAAGCCGGCGCTCTCGGGATCGCGTTTGACCCTGTGCGTTGACGGCGACCTCCGTGCTCTCGACGGCGGCAAAACCCTCCTCAAGGGAGACTGGCGTCTCGACGGGCGCCGGGGCCTTCGGGCAGCGCCCCCCATGCCAAACGGGCGCCTCCACGTCATTGTTCCCACTGGGCGGCGCCAAGCAGTCCTCCGCGCTGTCGCGCCCTTCCCCGCGGCCCGAGGAAACACGGGCCGGGGGCGCCGCGAGAACGGCCGCGACCCTCAGCAACGCCCCGGCCCATCGACACGGGCACTTGGATGGCTCGACCAGGGCCGCCTCCGCCTCCGCCCCGCCCGCGCCCGAGGCCGACGCTCGCGCAGACGGCGGGCGGCGGCCGCGCCGCGGCGCGCCTGCGCAGCGCAGCCGCGCCAGCGGTTGCAGGCCTGCGCGCGGTGGTTCGGCCCGCCATAGCCGCGGCGGAGCCTGCGCGTCTCTCCTGGCTGGCGCGGAAGCCAGGGGGGGCTTGCGCCTCCGCCCTGCCCCGCGCCCGCGCGCGCGTCCTTGACCGCGACCCACGTGCCAGGTGGCGGCCCGCTGGGATGGGGGGGGGTCGCAAGGGCGCACGCGCGCGGAGGCGCCGTTTTTTGATCCACCAAGCAGCTGAAGGAGCGCGATGAGCATGGTGGGTCGCACGAACAATCGAAGACGAATGAGTAGGACCCCCTCTTTGTCAACCATCGGGGCCAAGGCGCGACGCGTCTAAGGCAGCAGGCGACGACTGACACGTCAAGGACCGCGCGCATCCAATGACACACGAGGGCAGCAGGCAACCAACGATACGTGAAGAGAAACAGGTGCGCAGCAACGCGTCGCGCAGGAGGTATGGCAATCGTTTCTGCATGGGTTGGTGGGGATACTTTTTTGGATTCGCGGCCCGCAAGGAGAAGTCCAGAGGGCGGTGTGACCGAGGCTGGGGCACAGCGACAGATAATTGGCGAGACATGGCGCAGAGTGCACCTGCAGATAATTAAAAAGAGACGGCCACGATTCAGCCCGCGGGTGGAAGCGAACCGAACGCGAACCCAGCCGCTGAGCATGTGTCAGCAGAAGAGGGCAACCGCGGTGGGGACAGCTGAAGCCCTGGTGCCATCACGCGGACCCCGAAACCCGCTGAGCGTGTGCCAGCAGAGGGGGGGCCAGGCGGAAACAGGCCGGACCCGCAGGTGGAGTACCGACTGCCAGGGGGCGCGAGGAGAGATGGGCAGCACAACCTAAGGGGTAAGCATGGCAAATCCACCCACTTGACTCCCAGTGCGTGGGCCAGCGTGTCCGCGGGCCACACACAAGCCACCGAGGGGGTTCGGGCCACTGCACATACTTCTCACGGCCCGCACTCCCAGTCAATGCCTGGGAAGGGTTATTTCAGCCAACCACAGGGGAGGGCGCCCGCGGTGGCCGCAGGTACCATGGCGGTGTGGTGCCTCCGCGCTGGTGGGGATACGCGACGCGTCAAAAATGATGTAGTTTTTCGCGCGCATACTCGCGGTTCCCGACAGGGTCGGAAATGGCCCCCCGCCGCGACCCCGCCGCGATCCCAGGTACGTAATGCACATCGACTGATGATAAAATCGCCTCACCTTGAACCCTGTCTACACTTAGAATGCTGTGGAGTGGATATGTCATGATTTTCGCTTCCAGCCGAGGTATGCGAGCCTTGCCCCCCCCCAAAAAAAACACCACGCGGTGCACATCTGCTGACGTCAGTGCTCACCATCCCTGGCCCAAAAACAATTCGGTGCACATCTGCCGACGCCAATCCTCACGATGAATTGCAACAAAGACAGGTCGGCGCACATATCCGGATCTTCGGAGCCATCCAAACTTCACGACCCCTCACCAAACATTTTCGTTCGTTGACGCCGGCCGACCTGCACAGCGACCCTACACTTGCGATCCTATACAAACAAATCGTTCGTTGCATACTCGCTCATTTTCACATCCATCCAACGCCCGCGATCCCCCGCAACATACACAAGTGTCAGACAACAGTTGATTTTCTTAGCGCGCTATCATACCTCTAAGACGTTCCCAAGCGCGTCGAAACGCTCCCATTGCTCCAACAACGCTCCCCAACTCCCCGGCGCTACAAGCAAAAAGGCAACATTCACCTCCGTACCGTTTCACCGTCCTTGTCGCCGCAGGAGGTGTCAAGGAGCAGATGCATCAGATCGCCTTTACACGTTCAGATTGTTCAGAAGGTCGGCCTTATGGAAGGGATAGAGGCAGGACGAAGGCACGCCCCAAGATCGCCTCGATACGGCTCTGTGCAGATCATGAAGCACCGCACTGGCGCGATAAGAGGACAGGTCTTATGGGAAGGGTTTCAGGGCAGGAGGGAATAAACCGGGCGTGGGGTGGTGACCTAACACCCTAGACCTGACAACCCAATTCTAACACACTAGCACTAAACCTACCACCTGAATCTTAAAAACCGAATGCTGACACCGTAACCCTAGACCCCTTACCCTTGTTTTAACACCCCAGCGCCCTCACCCTGCCACGCCAACCGCACACCCTCCTAATCATAACAGTTTGTAGCCTTAACGCGCGAATCCTAAGCATTACCCCTAACCCTGGTTCGCCGCCCCCCCCAGCATTCCACCGCCAAGGACAGCGGGAGAAGTCAAAATCAGACCCGAGCTCCATTCCTAATCCACGGGCGACCCACTGGCGCCTGCATTGATATCTACTCCTTCCCCTCTCCGCCCTCTCCTCTTCCCTCTCACCTCCGCCCCCTCCCTATGTCCAGCGCCCCCCCTCCCTACCGCAGGAGCTCGACCGCAAGAACCCTTCCACAAGAAACCCAACCCACCCGAGGACGTACATTGATTTGTGGTCTGGTGACGTCACGCACTCCGTCGCAAAACCGTGGAAACACAAGCGCCCCCCCCCCCCCCCCCCCCCCCCCGCGCCGCCCAGAGGAGGAGGAGGAGGAGGAAAAGGAGGACGAGGAGGGGGAGGATGAGGAGGAGGAGGAGGAGGAGGAGAGGAGGAGGGGGGTGGAGGAGGAGGAGGAGGTAGATAGAGCGGCATAAGGGGGCGGAGCAGTGCGTTCGGCCTCAAGGATAGGCCCCCGCCGTCGCCGCTCAGAGCGG